CCTGTCATCAGACTGAGTATCAGATTGATAACGAATGCTGTCCTCAGTGTCCTCCTGGTAAGATTCAACTGAAAGCTGGATAATAAAACAATAAAATAAACACTGATTCTTACTTTTATTTTCACACTTTATTATTGCAGACTGTGAACCCAAGATATTTAAACTGTTCTGTCAACTTTAATCAAATTTTTGAAAGTAAATCCATTATTTTTGTCCCTATGCATCTATCTCACTCAAAAGGTTTGTTACAGATCATTAAATTCTACTTTACAAATTTACTTTAAACAAGTGATGGTAAACATGACTTTGTACCATTTCAGTATCAAAAAAGTCTTTAAAGTGGACATGTGATGCTTTTAATCCTTAATGAGGCAAAGTGGAATATTGTTTTCTCATCAGATGACTCCAAATTTAAAACATTTTTAGAAACGTCATCTTCTGTGCTGAAGACGGGGACCATCTAAGATGCTAGTTCAAAAGCCTGCCTCTCTGATGCTATGGGGGTGCATTATGGGCAGCTCAGACATCTGAATCTTTTTTCAGGTTTTAGAAAAACGTCTGCTTCCATCCAGCAAAACAATCTAGCAAAGAAGACCCAAGACCGTAGAACATCAAGAATCCTCATCAGAGAAGAATGAGACAGCATTCTCTCTAAAACCTCTAGAAGTGGTCTCCTCGGGTCCTGGATTTTTACAGACTGTTGGAAGAAGAGAGTCTTCACAGAAACGTGGACTGGAACACATTTAAAGAGACGAATATGGAGCTAAAAGAGTCTCAATACACAAATGCACACGTTTCAGGAATAGGATAGTGTGTAAATCACGTGTGCACTTGTGAATATTGAGACTCTCTATAGACATGTTGCATTCATCAAATTTGAAATGACAAAAAAGGCACAAATTCTTATTTTAAACAATTTATATGTTTATTTTCTTTGAATAAAATGTTCAGCTTAAAATAAAGACTAAAGCTGCAAACTCAGATTTCCTTTTTATTTCACCTAACATTTCAATTTAAATGAAGCAAGGGTGGCGAGTGTCACAGGGAAGGAGATGCATTACTTAAGTATATTTTATACATATCAAAACTTAGTTATTCCATATTAACCACGTAATTGAAAAGTATAGTTTAACCAGAATATATTTTACACACTATTTTGTCTCTATGCCAAAATCCAGAAGAATGTTTTCAGTTTGAACTAAAAACCAACTAACAAATTACATCTAAAGAATATTAATAACACAAACAATATTCACTTTAGTTTACTATTGTTTGTGTCTTTTTTAATTGTTAATGATATCCCATAAAGCTCTGCCTCGTCTGATTACACGTCCTGCTCAGACGGCAACATATCAAGAACTGTGACTCAACAGCTAACAGAACAACAGGGGATTACTGAGGAAAACCTTTGTCAGACTAAAGAACAGTATTCTATTCACAGACTGTAGGTCAGACGCTGATGCGTCCAGAGGCGGCACCGACTCTAGAGGAACCATCACATCGAGGAAGCAATGGATCATTGTTCTGGAGGAATCAACGAAAAGTAGAAAACATCTTGGGTTCACAGTGTCTGCTTCAAATCAGTTAAAATAAATGTAAGAATCACTGTTTTTATTTTTTTGTTTTTTATTTTACGTTATACTTTTTCCACAAAACCCTGCACTTCAACTATGTGTCCACTATATTATTTGTTTGGTTTTATTATTATGATTTTTGCAGTTGTCTATAAAAACTAGGGATACACCGATATGAAAATTTCAGCCGATATCGATATCTGATATAATTATTGCTGTTATGGCCGATAACCGATATTTACCAATATTATACAAACATGCAAATTATATTAAACATATACGCACAAACACACTTGGGTCTTTTTTTGATACTGTAAATAAACAACCAGACCTCTGACATGGCTCTACTTCAGTTATTCCTGGCTGCAGCATCAATATCACCATTATGATCAAACAGATACCACTCAACCAACCATCTCCCCTCTCAAAACAGAAACACAAAGATAAAAAGTCAATATTGGATGTTAAAATCGACCCTGTTTTACGTGTCGGAGAGATACCAATATCAATACTGATATATCGTGCATCCCTAATAAAAAGTAAATAAATTTATGAAATGAATAGATTTCTGTCACAATGTTGGCTGAGCTGATGGGTCATTCCATCCATGAAAAGGACAATTCTGATAATGTATAATTATTGAACATGTTTAGCTTATTTTATTCTACAGTTCAGCTAACTGATGCTGAGAATTTGCTGTGAACTCAAAAAAACAATGAGTAAAGGAACTGGGCTTCATCATTTTAAGGTACATTCAGGGGCATCACTAAGGGGGGATGAAGGGAGTAATGATCACCCCCAACAAAATTAAATTTCTGAATTTGTTAAATAATCTACGTATGGCAAGAACGTAACAAATATCCTTAACATCTGTTCTGGGTTTTGATTTTAGCGGCTCACCAAAGATTTTCAGTGCCCCCCATTAAAACTTTTCTGGAGACACCACTGGGTATTGATGTGAATGCAGCATGGTTTGAAGTAGAAATTTAGAAAAACTGGTTTTGTTTGACTTATATTTTCACGTGCAGATCTGCATGACTAAATAAACAGCATAAATAAAAGTAGACCTTAAGCAAAATGGCAGCCACTCACTTTGCTTTACGCTCCAACCTGTTTGTCCCTCTAGCTCCTCTTGCAAAATCTGTATTAAAGAGAAGGGCGTTCTGATATGATGCTCCTCAGCATGGACCTCTTCATGTTGATCTGAAATACCCAAACCTCATTTCATTTAGAAACTTGTTTTAGTCTTGAAAACTAAGTTGGTGACCTTTGAATGTTGGCTGTATTTTTAAATATTGTCTGTACTTTAACCTGTTGCTTCTGTTTTTTAACTATTGCCTTTTATTTAAGTTAGGTTTCCAATAATTATTAAGCCATGCACACACATTTTGTTTGTGTTTTATTGTATAATGTTACTTGTTTTATTTTTGTTTTATGACGTGATCAGGTCACCAGTGGAAAACACATCAGTGGGTTTTAAAGGCACAGTGTGTAGGATTTTGTCAATTCTTTTAGCCGAAATTGAGATAATCACTAATGACAATATTAAAAACATGTCTAATCATTGCAGACAAAGACTTTGTTTTATTATTTTTACCTTATAAAAAGCTGTTTATATCTCCATGGTCGGGGGTCGCCACACAGGCAGCCGCCATCTTGTCTACGAAGGCTCATGAAGGACAAACTGCGGTGGCAGCGTCAAAAATGGTTTTAGTTGTAATACTATAAATTAGGGGTGTCCCGATACCGATACCAGTATCGTATCGGGTCCGATACCAGCATCAAGTACTCATACTCATACTCGTAAAAGCCGGCCGATACTCTTAACCGATACCGCTGTAGGGATATGCTTGTCGATGTTATGGACAATGCTAAATCATAAATACCTCGTAATTATTAGCTAATAAAGGGGCACCACCTGATTTTTCAGGAAAATAATTTATAGATTTTAAATCAGTCTAAGATACTGGGTTGTGAATTCTATCATTTTCAAGAGCGAACCCAATAAATGACGCACAGACAAACGAAGTTTCAAAATATACCCTATATTAAATGATTCAGAGGTCACAATACAACAGATTATTTGGCAGACAGAGAACCCTATCATCAAAGCCTTGAGGTTTAATAATAAACATTAATGTCATTCCATAATTCTCTAGCATTCCTCACCTGAATCACTTAACTAATCTACACTAACAAAAATTAGAAACTTAAGAGTTAATAAAGAAATTGTTAATTCATCTATATAAGAGGGGACGTGAATTATGCGTGAAATAAACTTGCCAAACCTTCTTCAACTCAAACTTAATGATCCAGAACCTTCACCACCACGTCAGCTGAGCACACCGTCACAGAGAAAGTATATCTGTCCTACCAWTTCAGATGCCTTTAAAGTTATCCCTGGGTACCGGAGCTTGATCGAGCTGGTTCAGCKGTGTCGCTGGTTTCAGAGCGGTCCCTTGTGGGTACAACTGAACACCTTGAAGCGGCTGGGGTCAGGCTCCAAGCTGGAATCAGGTGTTTACTTCTGGTCACTTGTTGATTGAAAAAGGTTCTGACCAAGCTCGCCTCCTGCATGAATCCAGTCCCTCGTTATAACGAAGAGTCAACAACTTTAAAGTTACAAAATAAAATAAAAATAAAATGAAAATAAAATAAAATAAAATAGTTCCCTGAGGGGAACTGAAGCTCAGCTTTCACTTCTTCATCTCTTCAACTCTCAGACTCTTCTTCTTCTGACTCAGTCTTCCTTGCTGCTGAAAACTAAACTTCTATTGTCCTGGGTCTGAAACTCATGATTGGTTGAAAAATGATCACATGACTTGTCTGCTTACACAGTTGTCCTCACTGAAATTGATTACAAACACACACAGAAATAAGCTTGCTTGTGAAGTGATTAACAGTACATTGTTTCACATGATTGAGTCACGTAGAAAATACAATAATTCTTTTTTTTATATCAGAATGAGAAATACAGGAAAACATACATTCACGGTGTAATTATAAAACCAGTCTTTCGGTGGTGCTCTAATACCATAAATGAGTATGAATGTAAACGATTGCTTTGATGTAATAAAACTCAGCAAGGAATCCGGCTTCAAAGGCTTTTTCTCTGCAGCAGACCCATTCTGCCAGACACCGTGTCTGCGAAGATCTTTGAGTTCTGTATGATAAGCGGCCATTTTGAGTACATCAACGGTTCTTAAACAGTACTCAATCAACAGGAGGTCTGTCGTATCCTGTTGTTATCTTTACCACTTGTAGGTAGTAAACATTGCTTGGGGGTAAATGATCAAATCACTATTCTCTCAKTAGGCATGAGACAGAATAATGCTTTGGGCCAAAGTCTTGAGGTGAACAAAGTTTGGATTATYGACATTCCAATCCAAGTTACTGCTACACTTGACACTTTTTTAACATGATACCATTAGAGTTTGTTTCTTGTGAACATTCTCCCAAAATTATCAAGTTTTTGTTTGTTTCACACTTACCTCACATCTCATTACTAGAAATAATAATTAATAAGTTCATATTTAGGAGGCACAGTGGTTCAATTGGTAGAGATGTTGCCTCTCAGCAAGAAGGTTGCTGGATTGAATCCTGTCTTAAGGACAATTCTGGGTAGTTAGCATGTTCTCTCCATGCATGTGTGGGTCTTCTCTGGGTACTGTGGTTTCCTCCCACAGACCAAAAACATGACTGTTGATAATTGTCCCTACGTGTGAGTGAATGAATGGTTGTTTGTCTCGTTTGTCTCTACGTGTCCCTGTGATGGACTGGAGACCTGTCCAGGGTGTACCCCGCCCATCGCACAGTGACTGCTGGATATGAAGTGACCCTGAAAAGAAGAAGTGGGTAAATAGATAATGGATAGACTGAAGTTAATATTTAATTTTGAACTTAATGCAGTCACATCTGTGCATTATATTATGATCTTAGGCAGCAGCAGGTGCAAACACTCTACAGAGATGATAAAAAAACGGTTACTGATTGCACCCTGAGCGGGAAACACCTGCAGGAACAATTAAAACAAAGGTTTCATGAGAAACTGTCATAGTCTGTATTTATTCTCCTTAGTTTTCCTAGTGTTTTCTATGTTCCCCAGTGTGTCTCTGCTCAGCTGCCCCACATCACACTGCTGATTACCCTTGTGTTTTTCCCCAGGTGTTTTCTGTTCCCTCATTAGTTTTCTGTGTATTTAAGCTCAGTCTTGTCTCTGTGTCATTGTCGGATCATTGTGCTGTCTACCTGGTCGTGTCCTGCTTCATGTTCTTCGTCTACTTCCAAATCAAGTGAGTTTTTGCTGTATTATCAGCCTCTTTGAGTTTTTTCATTAAAGGCCTTGTGCTTTTTGATTTTTGAAACCTGCCTGTGCCCTGGGTTATTTTGTCAGGCCTGACAGAAACAGACATTTAAAATCTAAAAACAAAGTTTTTTTTCCCAAGGCCTGACTGGTAAATCTGCTGCTTCAGTTTGATATTCCGTCTTTTTTTTTCATGCTTGATTTAAAATTTATTGCAGATTCTCAAAAGTCATTTTATTACAGTTTTAAATACTAAATG